GGGTGATGGGCAGAGTGGGCAGTAGCAGTCTTCCCAGAAGCCATCCCTACCCCAGGATGATCATCAATAACCCAACTAAACACCAAAGTGACTGCAAACCACACAAATATATCCCACTAACTCAAATTAAATACGTCCCCAACTTGAATTCCCTTTAGCCAGATCCCAAAAATGCCCACGTGGCCTCAGGACCACCCAACAGAGGAGGAAGTGTGATGGAGGGGAAGTTGAAATGGAAAGAGGGACCAGTTTCAACCAACTACAGTTAAAGTATCTTGCTCTTGCAAATTTTATAAAACCTTGTGAACATGTGAACCCGTTGCTAAGGCCCAAGGCAGCACTTGGAAGGGGTCTCGGCAAGGAAGGGGCCTCCAGCTAAAACTTCATTTCACTGTAACTCTACCTCAGCTCTCATCAAACCTCTGATACTCCCTTAGCCAACCTCACATGCATGCCTCTGATGACCCTGCTTCCTATTTCCATGAGAAAACAGAACAGAGAGAACTGCCACAAGCTCCCACTGCCACTTTCACCCACCTGCCTGTGCCTGCACACCTTGCCTCATCACAAGCACCACTCCAGACTTGTCCCCTCTCTCCTACATCATCTATCTCTCCCTCTCTACTGGGTCATTCCATTGGCAAAAAAACACACAGTAAATTCTCTCTATTTAAAAATAAACTCTCTTGCCCCCACACCTGCTCCACTACTGCCCATTTCTCTGCTTCTATTACAGCAAAACTCCTTGAAAAGGAGGCTCCTGTAGCTAGGCTTCCCAGTTTCTCCTACTCAGTGACCAGACCCAGACCTCTCACGCGGCCACACCTTTCTCCATGAAACACATCAGGACTCCACTCTCTCTTGGTCTCCTCCTTCCTTGTTGGCAGCTTCTTCTCGGTCTCCTTTGCAGGTTCCTCCTTGTCTCCCTGGACCTCGTAATACTGAGATGTCCCTGACAAAAGCGTTGGTCCATCTCCTTTCCTCCATCTGTATTTACTCCCTCCCTCCCTTCGTGACCTCCGCCAGGCTGGTGACTTTAAGTACTAGCTCTACACTGATGACTCAAAAATGCACATCTCCAGCCAGGACCTCTCTACTGAGCTCCCGAGCTGTGTATCCGGCTTCTTCTCCACATTTCCACCTAGATGTCTAGTCTACACCTCAACTCAGTCTGTTCTGATCCAACCCCCAATCCTGCTCCTACCTGAGTGCTTTGTTAATGGCATCTCCATCCTTCCAGTTGTTCAGGGCAAAACCATGAAGTCACCCATAACTCCTCCCTCTCTCACCCACATCCAATGTCAGTTACTCCTATTATCTCTACCTTCAAGGTAAGACCAGAATCCGACTCTTCTCACCACCTCCCCTGCTACCTGAGCTCTGTGCCATTACCACCTATTACCTGGATTATCAAGTAGCCTCCGCCCTGGCCTCCCGCTTCCTCCCTTGCTCCTTTCCAGGCTGGTTTCCTTAAAATCCAAGGCAGACCACGTTCCTCCACAGCTCAAACCCTCAATGGTCCCCACCTCAGAGAAAATCCCACAGGCCCTCCATTTCCTAAACCAGCCCCCTGCTTATTTTGTATTGCATAATATTTATCCCTTCTAATATTCTTTGTACTTACCTTACTTTGCCCCCATCCTCCCTGCAAGGTAGGCACCACTCTACACCCAGTGCCTAGAATGGTGCCAAGCATGTAGCAGGCGTTGAATGAGGGCCACCACAGCCAGGGCTCAAGGCTGAAAGGTGCCCCTGATGGGGCTCGCAAGGTGTGGACCAGGAGCTTCCACTTTTCAAGCCTGTCCCCCGATCACTGCCCCTTCCCTTTTGGGCACTATGTCACACGGAGCAGATCCCTCTCCTCCTAGTCTGGGACTCCCTCTCCCACAGCTCCTCCTGCCGCCTGGTGGGCCTGGGCCTCTTGATTCCAAAGACCACACCAGTGCTCCCTCCCTTCCCCAGGGGGCTGGCAAATTCTCACATCTGACTCTGTGGCCCTCCTGCTCCCACAGCCTTGCCACAGCCCTGGCCCCCAAGTCCACACTCCTCCCCACAACAGCTCAGGCACTTTCTACCTCCAGGAGGAGGGCAGGATGGGGCTGTCTAGAGGAGGTGCAGCAAAGAGGGCTCTGGAACCAGCCCTCGAGCCCAGCCTCCCATGTCCGTGAACCCAACAAAGTATTTTATCACCTGTCATTCATGAACACGAGTCCCTGGTCTGGCACCATCTCATTTGGCAATAGCTTAATCACCAAAATCTGTGGGACCCACCCCCCAGAGCCCAGCGGCTTTGCGTCCCCCTCTTCCTAGCCCGGCCCTCTCTCGAACACCTTGAAGGTGACCCATCAGTTTTACATCTTAGGCCATTTGCTGAAGCATGCCGGGGCCTGGCTACAGGCCTGTGAGCAGGGCGGAAGCAGCATCTCCAGGGAAGGAGCCTGGTCTGAAGCCCACTGGACCCCACCGTCTTGCTCCTGGCTCACTATCCATCTCAAACTCCCTCCAGTAATTGATGGGAAACACCCTTACGTGTAAAGCTGGGGAACATAATTTAGGCCAAAGGAAAGGTGAAGTTCTAGGAATCAGCCAGCAACCCCAGCCAGGAGTCTGGGGTGGCGGGTTGCTGGGACAGTGTACCACATATAAGCCGGAACCTCTGGGCTGGCCCAGCTAGAATCAACCCTAAGTTTCTCCTCAAGAAAAACAGAAGTGCTCAATGAACTGGCGCAACTTGTCCCAAAGCATGCTGATTAAGAGAAGGTCCCACGGTAAAAATAAGTCATGCACTGCGCGTTGTGATGCACCAGCTGCCTGCATCTTCCAAAATGTCTCTGACCAGGAAACCAGTATTCCACTTTGCATCGCTGGGGACCTGAACTCCCTGGGGAGTGTGGAGACAGGCTGGTTTCTGAAGACTCAGTGTCCCAACATCCTGCGAGGGCTGGTCCCTTTTGTCTTTTTTAATTTGAATTTTTTAAATCAACATTATACATGTGCATAGTCATAGTACTTATAATAATAAATATAATAAAGCTTACTGCATTCCCATTCTTTATCCCCAAAGAAAACCACTGAACTTTTAGCTTCTTCTTCTGCATTTACCTCCACATTTCTTTCTTTTTTTTTTTTTTTTAGATTTTTAATTTATTCAGTTTTTTCCCCCCAAAGCCCCAGTAGATAGTTGTATGTCATAGGTTCACATCCTTCTAGTTGCTGTACGTGGGACTCGGCCTCACGTTGGACGGAGAAGTGGTGCCTCGGGGCGCTCCCGGGATCCGAACCCGGGCCGCCAGCATCAGAGCGCGCGCACTTAACCGCTAAGCCACAGAGCCGGCCCTACCTCCACATTTCTAAATAACATGCCTATGTTGCTCTCTTGAATTTTCAGTTTTAGACATTATTTGCTGACTTCCTACCAGGGACGATGGGAACTCAGCCTTCTTATACTCTACACACACACTCGCTCGGGCTCCTAATCGAGTTCCATCATTAATTTTTACCAGAGCAACATTCATCATTATTTGTATGTGTTTACATTATTATTTGTATGTAAATTATCTTCCACAGCTGAGTCATGTAGAGTCCATGGTTCCTCTTCCTTCCTTAATATTTTTTGTTTGACAGTAATAAATTGTCTATTTTTATTTGCTTAATTTTCTAGCTCAGATTCACGTCCAGACCCTGTGACAGATGCATGAATCAAGTGTTGACACCCTCAGTCTCCTCAGACTCTCTCGCAGGCCCGGTGTGGCCGGGATGCTGTGGGCTCCCCGGTGCAGTCCCTTCACGGCACTGTCTTCTGTGTCCGGGACTCCACGTCTTTCTCCGCTTACTCCTCTTTTCCCGGAGCCGTCTCTCAGCCAGCTTTGAGAAGGGCTGAGGAGCAGGAAAATTTTCTGAAGCCCCTGCAGACGTTTCTTGGGTGTTTCTATTGCTCTGGTGCCTGTCTGGGGTCCTCCCTTCTCTGCAGCAAGAGAGCTCTCAGTTCCCCAAATGTGTGGCTGACTGCTGCCTTGATGACCACGTCCCACTCCCACCCAGGGCTTCTTGTTCCTCACTGCTGCCCCCCGGGAAGCTCTTCTTCTCTTTTGACCATGCCCTCTTCCTGGTGTGGGCTCTTGTAGGCATAAACAAAAGGCCTCCCTGATCAACTGGCAGATGCTCACGGGGAGGCACGGGGGTGCACAGTCCCACTGCTCCTCACCAGGCATGGCAAGTTCCAAGGCCACCAGACCCCTGTGCTCTTTGCCCATCTGCTTGTTAGCCTCCACCATGCACTTCTGATTTCCTGAGGATTTTTCATCATCTTCACGACAACTGTGTCGTCACTATTTATGCCTTAAACGTGGTCGGGTTGGGTACCACTCCTCTGCCACACCCCGCCAAATGTGTTGAAACATCTTAAGACGTATTAAGTGTATCCTCTACACCAGAGAGTTCACACAGCATATATACATCATTCTGCTTCTCTCTTCAGGGAACATTTCACCCTTCACCCTTCAGGCCCTTCTTTGGGTGGGGTTTGGGTCTCAGAGATGGGGCCCCCCTCCTCCCCAGAACCCAGGGACACCTAGGGGCCCTCAAGGCAGGTACTCATTTTTTCCCATCTCCCCCAGATCTGTAACCTCCTTGTGCCAGTGAAGACTTGGCTCAGCAGACACACCTTCACCCAGTGCCAGGCCTCGTGACCTCCCAAAGCAGAACCAACCAACAGAAACCAGGAGAGCAGCTATTTTGCCTGGAGACTTACTGGACACATGATCTCTAGACAATGCAGACTCTCTGCACTCCAAACTCGCTGCACACAAGAGCCCCCCATCTCTTGTGGCCAAAGGAGACTTTTTACTATTTTTCCAGTTATCCAGGTGGCACTTAGGAGAACCGGCGAAACAGAAATCCAAACTTTCATACGACTGGTTTAATTTTTTTTCAGCAGGAGAAAAAAGAATAAAGTTACAAGATTCTTTTAATATTTTCACAATGTTAAAACTAAAACTGAGCTCTAGGCTATGTGTGTAAGTAAATCTAGAACATAAAAGGGTTAAATAAGATTTTCTCTTTTAAAGATACAAGAATTTAAGCTTTCCTTACATTTAACAAACTTCACAGAACAGATACTGCAGGGGAACAAGCCCTTCCCCCCCACCCCCAGCTCTACCATCAGGAAGTGAACATGGGCTTCGAGCCCTGTGTGCCGCCGGGCTCCCCAGAGAGCCTGCTTCCCGTCGCTGCAGCAGCCGACGGGACCTGAGGAGGGCCAGAAGGGCGCGTGGCTGGCCTCTTCAATCAGAGCTTCGCAGGGGGCCTAGACGGGGCCGCCTCACTGAGGATGGCCATGTACTGGCCAGAGGGCCGTGGCTTGACAACAGTGGTAAACGCGAACAGACCTGGCCCCTCTGCCCTGGGCTGCCCTAGAGCAAGACACCGGTCTGGGTCCTGAAGCAAGAATTAAGGCTGGAGATTTTGCAGTGGATTCCACTCTGGTGGGGGTGGGCTGGGAGGAGCAGGTTGGGAAGAGCATGATTTCCTATTTCAGTACTTCAGATCAAAAAATATTTGTAGTTGTAGGTGTTTAGCTGTTAATTTGCAGACAGAGCTGAACGTTTGTTGTGGTATAAAAGGGAAAGTTGCTGGGTTAAACTATTCCAGTACCTCGTGTGTGGGCAGACCCAAACTGCCCCTGCAGGAGCCTCCAACTCTCACAGACCTGGATCAGACGGGGGCTCTGGGCTACTCACCCCTGCTCAGGCTTTCAAGGGACTCTTAATCCTGTCTACTGACCCCACCCCCACCTGACTGGTGATGATTTCCTAATATAGGCAAATAGGCCCATCACTACCCTTCCCAAGCTACTGAAGCCACTGAACTCCTCCCTGCCCACGTGAAGAGGCACAGGCTGAGAAATATGCCCTCCCACCCCCACCCAGTGGAGCAAATGTCTTTCTCGGAGCTGAGCCATGGCCACAAACCACTGTTCTAGACAGGTCAAACCCGCAGTCCCTGTGACATACGCTGCCTGCCCTTACTAAACCGCTATGTGGTACATGTGGACTGGTTATCCTCGGACTACGGGGCTGCACAGACACGAGGCGAGACCACAGCATCATCCTCTTGGCCCCTAGAGGGAGAGGGGCTGAGCACGCTCCTGCTGGAAAAGGCAGCAACTTCCCCAGGTGCTCCCCAGCACTTCTACTGATTCCTCTTGGCTATGAAACGTCTTTTAAAAAACTCCCAATATAGAAATCTAGCTGCAGAGGCCAGTTTGTAGACCCCAACGGCAGCTGCTGTGCTGCAATTAGCCTTATTTGATCAACTGCCAGATCCCTGCACTTGGCAAATGGCAAACCAGAGCCAGCGGGGTCAGGGTGTGCCCCTGGTGGCTTCTCATGACCATAGGTCCTGTGTAGAAAAGGTGGTCTCCTTCGTGGACTAGTCTTGAGTGGAGCTAATTTTCAAAGTGAGGTTACTGTTTCTCTTCTTGCGTGATGAGAGAGTTTTTTCATAGCAAGTCAGATAAAAAATTTTCATGAGAACCTGCCCCCCACCCCCATTTCCAGCTCTGTGGGAGAGCAAGGCCACCACCCAGCCCAGCCACGTGGCCAATCTCAGCAGCCTCCTGCAGCCCAGGCACGCGTGGCCATCAGGGATCCTGGCTACTGGGACTAAGGATAAGTGAAGAGGTGAAAGGCCGAACATTAACCAGAGTTTCTGGCAAAGCCATGTGCGTCGTGGGGACTTTAACACCAGCTTCTACTCCTCTATTAACTCAGAGTCTCCGTCTGGAACACTTTCCACTTAAGGCTTTTTTAAGTTTGACTCCAGCAGTGACAGGTATGTGTTGTTTTAAATCCACTAGCCATGCTCAAAAAAAATATTCTTCATGTTTTAATTTTATACAATGGCTAGCAGGCACCTTAGTAACCAGCCAGAAATCAATTTCAACCACCATCAACCCCTAAACTACAGTACCAGGATGGCTGGCTAAAGAAAGGAAACGGACTGGCTGTAGTCTGACGCGTGCCCAGTACAAGGTGTCTGGCTGACTTTGTCCTAAATAAGGCTAACATTAGTGAACTAAGAACAGCATCATGTGGTGGCCGTGCCTGGCCTTCAGGAGCACCCCTCCCCGATGCGCTGGCAGGAGCGCCCCACTTTCCGGTCCAGTTTCACCATTTTCATGATGGCTTCCTCTCGGCCGCGGCCCATGTGGTCAAATGTACAGTCATGCTGCTCAGGGAGGCGATGTAACATACAGAACACGTAACCTGCAGTAGCGGGGAGAAGCAGAGAAAACAGACTGTTAAGGTGGCCTCCAAATGCCTAAAGTCCAGCCCTCGCTCTGGTCCAGAAGACAGGAGGGGCATCTCAGTGAGTGAACAACGGCCACAGCAGGGGCTTCTGCTGCTGAAGAGAGTTTATTACCACATCCCCCCACCCTTTAACAAGAGGGCCAGCACTTCACATTCCAGAGCTCCTCCTCAAGTCAGTCTCCAAGAGGCATGACTCCTGCCAACGGCGGCTGCTTCTGCATTCAGTGCTCCTCCTGCCTGGACCCTGAGGTGGAAGCCCAAAGGCGACTGCTGCAGTGAGACACCCCCTTCCCTAGGAAGTGAGTGGGCTCTGAGCCCCTTTCCTCTCAGCCACCATGCAGGTGGGAGAGCACAGAGCTGCCAGATCAACACTTTCCCTGGCTTGGGCAAAGTGTAATATCCACCATAGGATACCCACCATTTCTAGAAGGCAGAAAGGGAGCAGAAATGATTATGGCTTAAATTACATTCTACCTCCTGTTCAGCCAAGGCTTCGGGGGCAGAGGGGTCGGAGTGATCAAACCCCAACCCACAAGTGAGCAGGGAATCTCAAAGGACAATGGATGTTTTCAAGTGCTGGAAAAGTATTACATATAAATAGAGGAAAGAACAGAAATGTTGAGCTCTAGACGCCATCTCAAAGGAGCCTGATGCTTCTAACTCCACCTGGTAGGTAGGAGGTTGAGGTCCCCACACTCAGGGCTTCGCACTTGCTCTACCCTCTCAGAAGCAGAGGAGGCTGCAGGGCTGGTCCTCTCTTTCTGGAGCAGAGACGTCCAAGGGAGACACTGGTGAGGCTGGTGGAAAAAAGGATTGAGGAGAGGCTGACAGAGCAGCGAGATGTGTACGTACAGATGAACTCCCTCTGGTAGGAAACATTGAGAGGAGGCCCTTGGGGAGTTAGCAGAGAGGCTCAGAGGACAAAGGGAACACAGAGCTGCATCAGGATGTGGCCCTTTCCCTCTCCCTTTCTTGTCAATTTCTAGGAATGCTGATGGGTGTGTACATGTGTGTGGGGGACAGACACTGATGTCCTCTGGGTCTGTCTGGTCTGCTCTTTCAGGGAGAGGGGGAGGGAGAAGTTCTGGGCTAGGAGACACTTGCCAGTTCTGGCTGGCTCCTCGCCACCACCTCATCCCATCAGTTCTATCTGACCACACCTCCAGGCCTCATGGACCTAGACCAGGTCCACAGAACCAACCTGTAAGTGAATCCGAATCCTTTCCTAAATCTCCTTTCCCTGTGCACCTGGAGCAGGCATCTCACAGCACCCTGCCAGGCCAATGCTGTCTTTACTCATTGTCTAAGCGAATGGCATCTCTTCTCAGAGATTTCTTCCTTTTAAGCCTAGATCCCAGTGGTCAGAGTGAATGTACAGCTACTCCTTGCAAACTGTGATTCGTTCACCTCCCATATATCAATTTCTTTTAGTTTCAGAGATGAGGGGTGGAGGGAGTGATTTTAGAAGACTAGCAGAAGTTGAAGCAAAGTCTGAGTGGCCAGGATGGACAACAGTTTCAACAGCCTTAACTTTTAAGATTAAGTTCACCCAGAGAAGATTCCTCAGCTGACAGGCACAGCCCTGCACTGATGCCTTGCGCTCATGCTGTATATGGGCACGCGCACATGGCTCAGGGGCCTGAGCGACCAGGCTGAGCCTGGACCATCCATTGTGCAAGAAAACACATTATTAACTGCTTCCCAGAGAGAGCAGGGCAATATGTTTGACTCTAAATTGGGACTGGGTTTAAGGAAAAGAACAGAGATGAAATTTTTGTCTCCAGAGAAGCTGAGCTCCCACTTGGTCCGAAAGCAAAGTTAAGATTAATGAGCTCATGTGTTATATTTACTGATAAGTCCATTACTCGAAGATATTGGATACCAGTTGTCTTTCTCCTAAAGGATTTCATAGCAGCAGTGTGGATGGCCTCAGTATGCATCCTCCATCTAATAAGCACAATCATCTTTTTGGACCAAAGCCCACTGGGTGGGGGAGAACCTGCTGCCAGGTCAGGGCTTGGGGTGGAGCACCAGCAGTATGGTGGCACGAAGTGTCGGCAGACATGTTTGTCACCAAGTCCTGACATATTTCCATACCCTCAGCATCTATAATAAGGGCAGGAGGACCCCTGCTGCCCCTTCCCTTCCCTTTCTCCAAGACATTGGGATGATGCAGAAGGTCCCAGGGGCTCTTCTCTCCTTCTGATGAATGGAGTTGGCTGAATAAAAGTAGCAGGAAACGCATTACCCCTGAAATTAACTCGGCCTTGGCGCAGCCTAACGCCTCATTAGTCAAAGGCAGATTGGGGTGCAGGGGAGCGGCTCCAGCCTTGACCTCACTACGGCCCCCACAACTTTGCTCAGCTTGCCTTTTGCCAGCTAGTGAACAGCCAACTCGGTGGGTTGAGAGCCCCAGGCTCTGTCGGGAAAAGGAAACAGGGCATAATAGCCACAGCCACTCCCTGATATCCCCTCTTCCCACCCAAGGATTCTCCACCCAGCCAAAAACACTTGCTTTCTCTCCCTAAGTTCTGTGTACCTCTGTTAGACATACCTTGACACATGGCTTTCATTTTTGATAGGTGGGAACCACTGAATGGCAGCTAAATTTTGGGAGCGGTGCTGATAACAATTAGTATATATGGTACTGTAATTCACTGGGGGAAACTTTGGAATGCTAACTTCCCACGTTGCTGCATTGACATTATTAGATGACATAAATTAAGCTCAATCCTTCTCCTGTCAGGATCACTCACCAAGAGGCAGTTATATGCTGGAACTTGTCCCAAATGCTGAGTAGGTATTATCCACTGACAGTAGCCAATTGGCTAAACGCATTTCGGTGTCAGTAGTCAGGAGTGGGCTGCTCTGGATATGGGGGACGGGGGTGGGGGAGGGTGGGAATGACTGGTAGGTGGGATGAATCTGTATCCTCTTCTCTTGGTAACCGCAGATATGTTTCCAGAAACCACTGCAAGTGTCATGAACTGTCAATTACTCTCTGATTGAATTCTGGAGACCAAGCTGGGTATGGAAAGAGATGAGTTCAGGCTGCTGAGGAGGGTGACTGTTCTTAATTTCAGTGATGAACACAGTTTTAAAGCACAAGGAAATTTACAGCCTCTGTCTGGGCTAGGCCTTCCTCCACGCTGTTCATTAGAAACCATTCTGGGCCTTTCCAGAGAAGGTCAAACAAGGCAGTGTCCAGAAGGAATGAAAGCACCAAGGACACTGACTGAGCAGCTGAGCTGCAACACAGGCTTGGGTGTTATCCCCCGTGGTATTATGTAATTCTTTTTTTCCTGATTTTATAAAGATATGTAGTAAAATCAAATACACGCTCTCATTCACATATATACAATCCATATCTACACTCTCCTTATGGCCCCATAGTTCAGCACCATGTTGTTTTAAAAACAATTTCAATATACTTTTGCTTATGAAAGCTATATATCATACAGTGCTTTGGAGGGATAAGGAGAAATAGGGGTAGGAGAATATGATTAAAAGGATGCTGACCCCCAAAAGAGAGGAAAACACCCATGGCAAAAGTTTTTGAAAATATGATCTGTCTGCTAAATGTGATTTAACCTCAGCCCTTTCCCCTGCTATGTCCCATGACTGGCTGTCCTGCTCCTTGGAGCCTGGGATTACTGGTTTTCCACGAAATACTGGCCTAGGGGGAAGCCAGAGGGCTCCTTTAAGACTGCTGGAGTTATTTTCAGTAAATCTGCACAAAATGCTCAAGAACTTGTGTGGGCATTGCCTTACTTGCTGGCACTGAAGACCAATTTGGCATGAGCCCTTAACTAAAAAAAGAGGGTGAAGAAGCAGCTCTCTAAGCACTTTGTCCCAGGGCCCACCCTTGCATGCCCCTCTCCACCTGCCAGCACCTGGCTTCTGACAGGCCATCCTGGGCATGGGAAGAGGGAGAGGAGGCCCAACCACAGCAAGTGATACCACTCAGCCCCTGCCCACTGGGCTGGAAGGTCTCCAGAGGATCTCCAGCAGCTACACCCTCAGTTTGAAAAAATCTTCTCCAACTAAGTAGGCAGCATCAGGAGGGGAGGACGAGGATGTCTGGCCAGACAGCCACAGTGGCTGCACCACGGGGGGCTCATCCCAGGGCCCTGCCGAAGCCTGTAGCTGTGGACAGCAAGAGATGGGGGGACAGCAGGAGCTTCCCTGACTCTGTCACTATCAGAGACATAAGATTACTATGCATAAGGCAAAAAAATACAATCCAAGACCTACCTAACCCTCTGTCCTGAAAGGATCCCATGTGAATGAGAAACGCAGAAGGCAGCATTCAGGTCACACTGAATAGAGAGGCCAGGGGGGATTCTTCTGGGAGGACAAGCATTTCAACGGACGTCACTCATGGGTATAAACGAGCACGTCTGGACTTGGACCTCCTGACGTAGACCCAGGGCCTGTGGCCCCAATGAGCCATATGCCATACAGACCTAAAGATGCCTAATACCCAATGGCCCTAAAAATACATTTCCAGCAGAAAATGAACTGGGCTCATTCTTCCAAGACTCATAAAGGTCTGACATGCAGGTTTCTAAAAATGTTCATTTAGTGGAAACCATACTTCTGACCTGACCCTTCAGCTTTTACAGCTAACATCTGAAAGTCATATAATTCATTTAGACGCCTTCATCCACAACTAAATCTCACCTCTGCTTACACAAGGAGGGGGTGTGGTTATTTTGAGACTAAACACACATGATCAAGGACAATTTGCACAAATGCCATCATTAGGCAAAGATGACATAACACCCAACACCTTGCTCTATGTGCTATGAAAGTTGTAACAACATTTCCTGTTTCACTCACTCGTTTACAAAAATCCCTGACAATCCCTGCCCAAGAGGAACACTAAGAGGCCTCACCCAGGGCCCAAGAAGGGGTCTTGTGTTCTCTACCTCTCAGTAGCACCGGCAGGCAGG